GTTTGTAGGCTATATCGTGCAGCCCCAGACTGAACTGTGTGAGTGTGTGTGTCATTGAAATGCAAATTTAGCTGCAGCCAAATGATTTTGTGCAACCCACTTTGTCCCACTCCCACAGTTTGAATCGACTGATATGGGTTTTTCACTGGCCGATGCCGATATTTAGAAATCAAGGCAGCCGATGGCCGATATATGATGCCGATTTTTTTGTCCGATATGTTTGGCCGATTTTTTATTTATTTTTTCCTTCATCTCATAAAAGTGAGTTTGAGTACATGATTATAGCAGGGTACAAGATAGTAATAGTAGTAGTAGCCTAATTCAGAGTAATAATACATGGCTCAAAACTTAAGCACCTTCTCAAAACAGTTCCGAAACATGCTTTTTGTTTATGTTTGCTGACAGACACCAGTGTTGCAAACACAGACTTGCAAATACAAATTCATTCTCTGCCAGCAGGAGGCGCTGTTGGAGCAGGAGATATAGCGGTTTCCCCGGTAACGGCTGTAATCAAATAAGCACTGCACTCACAAACGCTACTTTATCAGGCATTACAGCAAAGATGAAATGAAAATTTTCTTTTCGGTCAGTTCTTTTCAAAGATACAATCATATAAAAACACCAGCGCTGCATTTTAATTTTGAAACGTGCAGTGATAAGTTTATTCAACGGAGTAATAACTCAATGTATGGAAACACTGGACACTACTAAAAGTCAAATGGCCAAGTGATAGCTGTGTGTGAACAAGAAGCGGCTGCAGAGTGTGAGTTGCTCCGTCTCACGCAGTCTCTTCAGAGGGAGTTCCACAACAATGCTTAGCTGCCCGCAGGTGCACCTGCCTATAAATCGGCCTAATTTGCAGCACAATCGGCCAATGTCGATTAATAAAAAAAAATGCCAAATGCCAAAAAGATCGATCGGTCGACCTCTAGTTATTTCTGAGCTCGGCTTTCAATTGTGACCAGTGGATTTGAAAAATAAACATGACAGTTTGATAAAAATTAAATCTTTAGCCTAATAATTCACGGATTCGCTAGTGTTGTCTGCAACCTGATCTCCCGCGAAAGGCTTCTGCACACAAAAAAGAAAAGCCCTATATGAACAGGCAACATAATGAAGCGAATGGATTTTCCTGATGGATCTCATATCTATAAGACGATTTTTGTGTGCGAGGTTACAAACGTAGCCTATGCTCCTTTTCTATGTGCGTTCCTCACTTAAAACGAAAGTGAAAGTAGCCTATGCATTCGGGATAGTTTAAAAGAACTCGGGTCTAATCGGGTCCATTTGGAAAAAGCATGTTTATTTTAAATTACCCGAGACCGCTAATACCGAACCCTACCCGTGTCCGAGGTACTCGAAGTTTTGGACCCGAACCCGCTCGGGTCTCTTGTCGGACCTCGGGTTTTCGGATCCAAGTGGACCCGTGAAGACCTCTACTGTGGAGTAGCGCATGATACGATTGACTGGGTTCAAGTCCGTCTTTTGCCAAACTCGCTTTTCTTCCTTTTCTCATCACATCGGAAAAATGGAAATCAATTGCTTAACGAGTATTTAATAATAATGTATTAATTAGGTAGGTTTAGTGTTACTACAGTGAATCTATTGTAAATATTAATTTGTGAATTGAAAAGTATTGTAACTGCATTGAAATTGTAGTCACACAGTGTTTCTCCTGTTTTCTGCGTCAGTGTTGTCGAGAATGGCAGCGCAGTTTCATCTGCCTTTAAACTAGTTTAAATCACTGTGACATCTGTGGTTTATATAGGAGAGTTTTGCTCCAAACTCAAACGCATCTCGCAGCGCTGTTTAGTGGTCGCATGATCGAGACCTGCGAGTAAACGCATTTGTTCTGAGCTCACGCTGCGCTGTCTTTAGGCAGAGCTAATAACGATCCGTGCAGCACGCTTCACACGAGTAGCGCTCTTCCGCTTTCGGTGCGCTAAAGAAAGGACAGCGCATATGAGTTATCAGATGCTAATTAACACTGTCCAACGAGATGAAATGAACATGACACGAGTGTTTATTCTCGACTTTTTTCTTGAAATTCAATTAGCTTATTCTCACATTTTATTTCGACTTTTATCTCGAAAAAGCGACTTTATTCTCGAAATGTAATGAGTTTAATCTCAACATTTTATCTCGACTTTTATCTTGAAATTTAACGACTTTAATTTTGAGATGGTTTTATTTTTTTTATTGCTTGGCCCTAATACTCTTCCGTACATTAAAGACAGTATCCAAAAAAATAAAATAAAAAATTGAAATGACAAATGTAAACAGAATGTGGCACAAATTGGGAATTGGATTTCATAGGGCTGTAATTTACAACTTAATGTACTTTATACTGTTTACAGGTTTACTATTATATTTATATTAGTTTATCATATTTCTTACCGAATTACTTTTTGTTCACTTAAAGTCGTTACATAAGCAACCTACTGTCTGGGATGGAGCACCAATGCTCTGACAGACTTCTTGTGGTTTGTCAGCGTGGCTCTTGTTTTGCCAGCAACCAGATCCCAGAGTCTTATGGTGGTGTCATGACTTCCTGAAGAAAAAATATAAAGCACACTAAACATAAACATAACAGAACGAACACAACGTATTTCCTTTAGAAATGTATCAGCAGCAGAAATCTGTTTACATGGTTCATACAGAAACTGCAAAATTAAATTCCAGGACTTAAGGACTTCTCAAACACGATTTTTTATTTATTTTTTCCCCCAAGGACTAAAATCAGTAGTGCCCTCGACTAAGGATTTTTCTGGTCGACTAGTAGTCATTAATTTTAAGCATTAGTCGACTAATCGCATGTTTTTTAATAAACCATTTAAATCATGATAAAGAGCCTTTAATTGCCTACAAAGCCTAATAAGCACTCAAACGCACACATAAAGCCTGCCACAGCACACCGCAGAAGCTATGATTATGAATGTGTCAGGGAAAAACAGTAAGGAGGCTGTATTAACATTTTTATAATTCAGTGATAAACAAGTGCTTTCTTTGTTTCGGTTTAAGAGATGAAGTCGGCGACACTGACTCGTTTTCCATTTGAAAGTAGACATTTCTCTCTCTATAGATATATTTGTAATATCTGTAAGGTAAAGATATAGGCTACACGGAGTTTCGCACTCAAGTTCACAGACCGAGACGGCAGAAAGCGCATCCTGTTTCTTTCATTATTTTACAAAAGCGCGATTTGCTATTGTGAATGCACATAAATAAACATAGAGTCTTTACAGATTTGAAAGATGTATTACTCTTATCTGTATGAGTATTTATTTACGGAGTATTTTAAGAGCAAGTGAATGCACCGGCGCCTCCGTCTGTCCTGCAGTGATCGCTACTGTTCAGCTTCCGCACAGACACTTGAATAGCGGACATTTCTCTAGGTTAACATTAGATTGAGCAGCCATGTAAAGTTGCAAATACTTACATATTTCAGATGATAAGCCATATTTGTGGTTGATGAATGATAGGTGAGCATTTGGATGTCCTGCTGGATGTACTGTACCATACCATAGACCAGCCATTAACGATCTGCGCGACTTCGCCAATGTGGATTTTTTTTTTCTGCGACTAATAAAATTTTGGTCGACCAAGCCTCTTCTGGTCGACTAACGATTAGTCGACTATTAGGGGGCAGCCCTAAAAGTCAGAGATCTCACTTATTAAACGATATTGTTATCTTTCAAATTCTAATAAAAAACTAAAAACAAAATGGTACAAATAAAGTGCAGCACAAGCAAAGCATGCAATGACTGTGGCCACTTTAACATTTAAAAGGATACTATGGCAAAGATATCGCTTTCCTTATTCAAACTGATTTTATTTTATGAATACATGATTGACCTGAAGAATGAAAGCTATATCATACACTTGGAATATAAGCTATATAACGCTCATAGATACTAGGGGTGTGACAATAAACTTAGCTCATGAGATGAGACAAAATACAGATACTTGTTTCACTAGAACGAGACAATATTTTAATACTACTTTTAAGAAATTTTCAATTACAAAACATTTGTCTTTTATCACAAAATGCAAAAAAAAATAAAAATGAAGTTGTATTTTGAAATGTTTTTAATCTAGGGCCGTAACTAAGAATTATTTTGGTAATCAAGTAATCTGATATTTTTTTAGTAATAAAAATAGACCTAAGTGAAAAACAGGCTTTAATATGACTATATTTATAAATAAACTAACGATGAGGCAATCATAATTGGTTCAAATAAAGTATCAAAACTAAGTAATTACATGGTTTTATTGAACAACACTTATATAAATGCAACACAACACAAAATATATAATGTAATATGCCTATATTATATAAATGAACAAAACCAACTTAAAGGGTTAGTTCACCCAAAAATGAAAATTCTGTCATTAATTACTCACCCTCATGTCGTTTCAAACCCGTAAGACCTTCGTTCATCTTCGGGACACAAATTAAGATATTTTTGATGGAATCTGAGAGCTGTCTGACCCTGCATAGACAGCAATACAACTGAAATGTTCCCAAGTCCAGAAACGTAGTAAGGAGATCTATAAAATAATCCATGTGTCATCAGTGGTTCATCCGCAATTATACGAAGCTACGAGAATAATTTTTGTGCGCAAAAGAAAAAAAATAATGACTTTATTCAAAAATTTGTCTTTTCCGCATCACCCTGTAGCGCCATTTTGGAGAATATCCGCTGGACGTAAACAGCGTATGCTGTTCTGTGTCAGCTGCGTCACGCCGGATCTGTTTCCTACGTTGTTGTGATTTTGATCTGAACGAAAACAGCATATCCGTGTGACGCAGCTGACACAGAACAGCACACGCTGTTTGCGTTCAGTGGATACTCTCCAAAATGGCGCTAGGGTGATGAATATAGGGAGACGAATTGTTGAATAAAGTCTTTTTTTTTTCTTTTGCGCACAAAAAGTATTCTCGTAGCTTCGTATAATTGCGGATGAACCACTGATGTCACATGGATTATTTTACCGATCTCCTTGCTACGTCTCATTTCAGTTGTATTGCTGTCTATGCAGGGTCAGACAGCTCTCAGATTCCATCAAAAATATCTTAATTTGGTTTTTCCGAAGATGAACGAAGGTCTTACGGGTTTGAAACGACATGAGGGTGAGTAATTAATGACAGAATTTTCATTTTTAGGCGAACTAACCCTTTAAGTATATTATGTATTATAACAAATACCTGCAGAGGGCGCCAACGGCCTGGTGATGTTTTACTTTACAGCGTGATTCAATGACGTTTAAATTCATTTATTATTTGGACAAGCAAACTCAGAGCAACTTTTATTTTGAAATCGAGATGTACAACAAATCGCATATCTAGAAATATGTTGATCTAGAAATACTCTCCTGTGTTTGCATAGGTTTAAAAATGATTTACATTACAAATCTAGTGAAATAACATGCACTGTTTTCCCAGATGAATGTTAAGCAACCCAAATTCACTGCATTTGTAGAGGAAGACTTTGTCAATCGTGCTGCTGAGATTGAGTGCAAATGATTACAGTGCAACACAAAGTGCATCAGACTTTATATGCGTTCCCAAACGAAACCCAAACAAACAGCACATGTAATAAAAGACCGAACAATATAATGCAAGCACCATCAAAGGTCTTACCACAAAATCAACTTTATACTGATATTGCGAGACTGCTTTTCGCCTCAAGGAGTAATATTGCGAGATCTCGTGTGCTCCCAAAAGCTGAGTGAAATGGCTCTGTATTTAACACGTGCTGCATTGTTAATTTTGCAAGAAATTATTGTTTTTATCGAAAAAAAATTTAACACTAATTTCATATATACTGCCTTTTAAACATTCAAGTACTTTTCAAGTACCTTAACATAAATATGGCTGTTTTTAAGGTTTTCCAGGACTTTGAAAAATTTCAAAAAGTAAAATTCAAGTACTTCAAGCACTTTAAGCACCTTGTGCGAACCCTGTGTTTAGAAGGCAGAGTCAAAAAAACAAAACAAAAAAAAAAGATGGATGCATACCTGTAATCACCTGTGGCTCGGCACTTTGACATTTGACTGTAGCCACTGTGTTGGTGTGTCCAGAAAGGGTGTGGACATTTGCCTTGGTCCTGATGTCCCAAACCTACCACACACAGACAACATACATTAGTACTTTTGTACAGTAGGTTCATGGTCAATCAGCTGGAAAAAAAAGTGTGAGGACCGCAATCTTACTCTCGCTGTGGCATCTCGACTACAGGTCACCAGTACGTCAATGGTAGGATGGAGGTCAAGGTCATACACTGCACTCAGATGACCGTGATAGTGCCTAATAACCTGCGGACAACACAGAAATCTGAAAAATGTATCCATGCCTGTATCCTGTAAGTAAAGTTTAGACTGAATGCATGTTGTTTTTGTTTGTATAGTTTCTACCTTGTCATACTCTAGATCCCAGCATTTAACCTGCTTGTCCTCCCCGCAGGAGAAGAGGTAAGGGCTGCGTGTGCTGACAGCCACCCCTCTCACCGTGCTGATGTGATCCGTCAGAGACAACTTCAGCTTACCGCTGGCAAGATCCCAGATCTAGCGTTACAGAACAAAAGCTTAACACTATTCATGATCCATAACATTCTAAACAAGTTAATAATGATCTTAAGTAGGGCTCCATGTTGTGGGGAAAAAAAATTCAATTTTGATTTTTCTAATAAAAAAAACCTCTAGGTTTTCTGTACTTGTTTGTAGGGCTGAACAATTTGGCACTTCATATACAGTATACACACATATAAAAATAAATAAATAGATCTGTATAGATGATATGCAGACAGACAGATATATAGATAGACAGATAGATTGTCTTTGCAATATGATAGTCTTTGCAATATGACAATCACACTAAGCAATATTGTCATTTCAGTTTTCTTTCGACTAATTTGAAGTCAGATAGATCACCTTTATAGTTCTGTCTGCCGATCCAGTCACAAACCACTGGTTTCCAGGCTCCACTGCTATAGATCTGACCCAGCCCAGATGGCCACTAATGACCTGAGAGACAGAACCAGAGAAGAACATCATATCTAATGAAACTCCATCATTGTAAACTGCCCTTTTTTTGTCTGTATCATAATGGCCTTTAAAATACTTTCCAAACATACAACAAATGAAACACAATGACAGTTTCTATTCACAAGTACTCAGGAATAAAATAAACATGCTGAATAACTCCTGGAGGAAGACAGAGCACTCACTCTGTACAGTTTCCATGGTGGATGCCACTGAGGTTTGGGCATGGTAGGAGCCTTTCTTGGCACCAGTGTAGAAGTCTTTGTGCCTCCTTCCATGAGAGACTGCAAGGCAAAAAACATAAACTGATGCTATGAACTTCATCTTTAATAAAATGTGCAACCATCTACACACTGAAATACAAAATCATTAGTTCAGTTTAAGGTAGCCTACTGAAATACACATGGGATAAGAGCAGTCATATCTCATTCATGAATTGACATTACATTCTAAGAATAAGCAACTAAATCTAAAATTATTAATTTAATCATTGATATAAAAATAAAAGCTGACGCTCACCAGCGCGTGTTGTGGGGGTTGAGATCTCTCTGCACCTCCTGCATGTTTGTGGATATCTGCCACACTTGCTGCAGTTCGACTGGCTTCTTTCCTACAAAGCAAAGAATAAAACATATCAAAAACCTAATTTACATTTAAATTATTATCAGAATCTAATCACAGGTGAACAACATTACATACAGGAGTAGAACATGGTCCAAAATGTTTTGCAATGTTACATCCATGTGACAACATTAAAATTGCAATGCAAAGACTAAAGCACCCTTTAAGAAATTGTCATGTTGATTCAATAAGATATGTGCATCTTGAATTATACACATACGACAAGTTTGTAAGTTTAAAGCTGTAGACAGGAACTGAAACATCTTGTTTACATTTTTATACTGAAACCAAATCAAGGTTATGGCTTAGTGTGATTTTCAAATTGCAAACACTGTGATTTAATTAAATAAGTAGCTTATATTCACTGGATGTTTTAGGGTGAAGAGCTGTTCTTTTATATGCAAGCAGCTCATGAGATGGCATTTTCAATGTCTCAAAGTAACTTGGTTCACAGTAAATGCAAACAAGCTCATCTTTGCATTTGAGTCGCTTATACATTTGGGCTAATTTATGCAGCCATACAAACAAGCACTGCAAAACTGAAGCTAGAATTTGCAACTAGAATTTGCCCCCAAATTGTGCAGCACTAAATCAGATCTGGGCCCGTATTCACAAAACATTCGAGCTTACCACTAAGAGTTCTCCTAAATAGCAGTAAAAGATTTTAGCTAAGAGTTTTCTCTTAAAACCTATTCACAAAGCTGCTGAGACAAACTTTTACTAAGGCATAGAGAGAAGTCTTAAGCTAGGAGTAAGGGTGGGGTTGACCTCGTTGCTATGGATGATGTCAGCATGCTTACTAACGATGCACACAGTGATTGTCTGATAGTCTCTGTCAGAGATTTATTCATAGAAATATTGTTGAGCATGATTTTATGTTGCCTTATTCAAATAAAGGTTTTAAAAAAATGTTAATTACCACATTCAAATAAAGATTTTAAAAAAGCCTAAGTGTCACTAATTAAACAAGTATATGTTCAGCTAATTAATTGTCAGCTTCTTACATTGTTGCTTCTGGTAAACAATTTTTAATTAACAGAATAGAATAATCATGGCTGATAGCAAGACATGCAAACGTAAAAGAAAACCAAACTGCACGCAAGAACAACCGTTACTTCTTGCCCAACTGGTCAATGAAAACAAGGGTATAATCAAAGAAAAATTGTCCCTGACAAATTCTACAATAGTCATAATACCCCCGCGATTAAGGTGATACCTTTTTAAAAGCTCATTATCGTCAAACGTTTCTAAAATGCTTACGTTCTGAGGCAGATTGCCAGCAACAACCACTTTAGGATAGTTGTGACTTGGTCTTAGTGACTTAGGAGTCCTCTTCACTACTCCTCATGTTTCACAGATTTAGGAGCTAGTTTTAGCGTTATAACACTTTGTGAAATACTCTAAGAGCAAAACTTTAGGAGTCCTAAATTTAGGACTGACACGCTCATTATTTTTAAGATTTTCTCCTAAATCTGCAAGTTATGAGCTACTTATAGCCTTAAGATTTTTTGTGAATATGGGCCCTGAAGTATTGGTGTGTAGTTTATCACCTTGCTTGAGAGGGAGGACGGGCCAGAGCCATGGAGTGAACACCTGCTTCACTGGGCATCTTCTGTATCTGTGTATCTGCAGTGAGGGCCACTCCTGCAAACATTAGAAAAAAAAAATTATTAGGCCTCTGAAGAAAATACAGTTCTGTGCAATTAATTTAAACGTTCAGCATCTAGGTTTTCAGGCTTAAACTGATTTACCTGGAGATGATGGATACGGATAAGCTCCTGTCACCAAGTAATCTGGACCAGCGTCTGCATAAATTAAGTCCAACAATTACAACAGACTGAAAAGTCAATGTTAATGATTACTCTGACAACGTTTTTTTTTAGTTGTTTAGTCCCTAAAAACATGAATATAACAAAACAAAAGGACCAAGATTTCAGTTTGTGTAAATCAGTTCCAAAAAGAAATAGGTAACGTTATACCAGGCAGTGGGTATCCCGGCTGGCCATATGGGTCAGAGGCGTGGAGTGGCCTTCTGTCTCTGCCCTCTTTCAGCACAGGCATGTGTAACACTGGTTTGTATTCTGCTCTCATCATCACGGTCATCTTCGTCTTGTAGCTAAAGACATAAGTAGTAAGATATTAGTAGTATTAACGAACCATTTAGCTTTATATACAGACTCGCAAACAATAATTACAGGTTCTTCCTAAAGAACAGACTTATGAAATGTTAAAGTGTAAAATTTCAGTCTTTCAGTTATTATCCTCTTGAGTTACAGTACCTGCACAAAATCAATAACGTTCGTTGGCTACATCGTATCACCAACATGCCAGATTTTTCAACAGGGTTGAGTATTTACCTCTGTTCGTCCAGCGCTACTGGTTTTGCATGATCTGATACAAACATATCATGTGTCCTTTTCAAAGAACGAAACACAAGCGCGTGGACAGAGTGCTTCTGCATTTCCTGTAGGAATAAAAACAACGAAATTCAACATGAGACGACCGGTGTTGTGTAATATTCGGTCCCCGTGAAAAACTGTTCCAATGGGCGGGGTTAGTACGAATATTCATAGATTCGTTCCGCGGTGGGCGTGGCCTTTTGAGCTACAAACAAGCGAATGGAAAGGATTGTTTTGTCAGAGGGGTATTGCACAAAAGCAAGATAAGGGATTAAGCTGGGATTTTCCAGTTATCCTGCTTGAATTTAGCCCTGACTCAGTTGCATGAAAGCAGGCTAAATTAAGATAAATTATGATGCTATGGAGATTTATTCTTTGCAGCTAGCCTGCTCTAGAGCAGGCTAACAACCAGGCTAAAATTAATCCTAGTGATTTATCTGTTAGTTCCGCTGTCAATCCTACTAGAAATTAATGTTTTACAGTCACTCCATGGTCTTCTGTAAATATGTTGCATCATTGTAATTATTCTGCATTCAAATACTAGATATAGTCATTCATCGAAGTATGCCTATTTTAGTGTTATTATGAAGACTGTTCATATTGCTGTCAGAGGTTTGATGAATACATATATTATTGCAGTTGTTGAGAATCTAAGAAATGGCTGATGAAGTTGCAAAGGTGGTTTCATTTAAGTCCATGACGAGGTCAATATGTAGTATATATAGGCTTAAGTCCGATTCATGTACTAGACGAGGAAGTGTTAATACTCAGACGAGCATTCAGGCATGAAAGAGTCTTCCGGGACAGGTCAGACCCGTTGGCCTTTGCAGACGAATATCTGACTGAGAGGTACAGATTCTCAGGTGATGGCATCCGATATCTGTGTAGGGTCTGCCAGGCATTTTCTCTTTGTTTTATTATAGCAGTTGTATTTCCCTTTTTAAATATTATATGTTTCACCTCTTCATATGTTTCCATTAGAAGCTGTTGCTCAGTTGGCGAGAAGTATGCCGCACGGGTTTTATCCATTTTTGCATCGATTCTGTGATCGATCCCGTGGTCTGTTTAAGAATGCCATGAACGTGCACTTATCCCAACTATATACACCTGGTTTGACATAGCTGCACGTTCTCATCCTGACTCAGCAAACGTGCAACGCACGAATCGAATTTTCACATTTCTGTCGTTCCTCGTTGTTTTTTTTGTCGTTTATTTTCAAGCTGTAAACTGTGTCCCCAGTTGCTGTGTATTTTGCTGCATCATAACTTTCACAACTTTCATAACTTTCAGCTACTGCAATTAAACTCAAATGTCGTTAGATGCATGTTCAAATAAAGATTTTTTAATGTTATCTGGTGTTGTTTTGTTGCCTTTTTTTTGTGTTTTTTTGGTCAAGAGCCTTGTAACAATTAAAAAAAAAAAATAATTAGCAACTGAAACATGTTGTTTATGGGTGTTTCTTCCGAGAGCTAAAATGCAATTTAAGAGAAGATAGACCAAAAGGGGGGAATAAAAAAAAACAGAACAAGTAAAATAAGGAATAAAAAATATACAAATATTTTCTCCATTCTGTCACCGATGGAGTTTTGGTTCCTTGCCGCTGTGGCCTCTGGCTTGCTTAGTTGGGGACACTTAATTTCCAGCGATATTGTCGACTTGATTGCACAGATACTATTTAAACTGAACTGAGCTGGATGATGACATC